AAGGTAAAAAAAAAAAAAAAAAAAAAAAAAGCAAGCAAAAGATGTCTCTACAATCTCTGATAGAAGTTGAAGTAATAAATGCAGCAAACTGAAGATGCACAAATGCCACCTTTTCAACTCTGCTGCTGTGACCCCCCCCCCCCCCCAAAGAAAAAAAACCCACAAAACATCAGTAGGGTAAAACTAGCCTGTCCCAATCCAGTTTTTGCGTTGGCTCTAAATCCAGAGCATAGTCCTGTTCGCACACACACTGAGAACACCTTGATAAACAAGGGTGGATTTCACGGGAACTAAGAATTTGCTTTTTTGCTGTCTTGGATTCTGCAAAAATGCCTTCTTCCAGCAACAATAAAAATCTTGCTCAACTAGAACAGTAGTTCTGTCCTGTCCAAACAAACTATGTCAAGACAGTTTTTAGGGAAATTTTAGGAATCATGTGTATTTCTGGGACTTTACCACTACAAGGAATAGGAGAGCAGTCACAGTCTTAATATTCAACTAGAGAGCCACATGCATTATTATCTGATCTGCATCATATTATCATGTATAGACTTACAAATATGCCAGGATCAGAACATCAGTAAGATCATGTCTGTGTAAAAAAAACCCCGGGAATTGGGTTTTCAAACCCTTAGTGAATGGTTTCCATGTCTTAGTTTTAAGATTCCTTCTTCCACCCCTATTGTTCAAGTCCAAAAATTCTCCCTGAAGCAGAGTACTATGGTTCGACTCTGACGGCACTCTAAGGGACTGCACAAGCTACTGAACGCATGACTAGTGCTCATTCTGCTTATTCTCACTGCTATCCCACTAAAATCGAAGCACTTGAAGATAGTGCTGCTTCTGCCCTGCAGCATTTTGGGTTACCTCCCTCTGACCTGTCTCACAGTACATGTGAGCAGTGTTCTACTTGATTAGACCGGAGAGCAGTCCTGACCAACTCATTTGTACACGAGGTTTACAGCCCCGCTCCGAGGAGTGGAGGGACAAGTCAGGCTCCTGCCCTAGGCCCAGGTGAGGCTGGAGGAAAGCTGGCTGGAGCCTGGGTGACGGCATATTCCAGCACACAAAAGCGATGGCAAAAGCCACCCCTCCCTTCCCCCAACGCAAGCCTCCTTGAGTCTGACTAGTGCTCTGCATCCTGGTTTTTAGCCTTTGTTTTCAAGTGAGGTGTTTTGCTTTCTAGCTTTGCTTAAAATACGTTTCTATAAAAAGAGCATTCGCCTGGGCAGCATGAAGCATGCAAGTGTAATTCGGACAGCTGGCACGCCTCCCTCCACATGCGTATGGAGGGACTTCAGCAATTGATGCCTTCGCATTGCCCGCTGCTAGCGGTCAGCCGGCAAACCGCAGACCACAGCTGCAGGCTGGGCAAGAAAAACCCAGTGACCAAGAGCCTGGCTTCTGCACGCTCCCTGGAGCAAAATCCCCATGACACCCACCAGAGCCCCGTGCCCCGAGCAGGCAACAGCTACAGACACAGCTCCCGAGCTGCGAGGCAAATACCTTGTTGAAACAAAAGCTACACACTGCAAACAGTCCAAGAGGTTCAGTAACAAACTATTTATTCAAAAACACATGAGAAGTCTGCACAGGCAACATAAGAGACAGTTCCCCAAGTACTCCATTGGTTTTGCTACAATGCATAATATAAATTTAAAACCATGACCGTGCCTTCCCCCTTTCCAAGGAGTCAAGTGGAGGAAACTTGGATGTCAGGGTAAGCTGAAACAGCAGGTGAAGCTGAACTGCTCTTTTCTGCTTCAGTGTTTCCACGATTTACATGCGGTCTGGACAGCTCCAAATAAACGCAGCAGAAGGAAACCCCTGCCCCGAGCCCTGCAACCTGAACGGGGACACGCCAGCCCACTGACACCTCCCGCCGGACGGCCTGGCCAGACTTGCCTGGTGGCACTGTGGGCTTAAGTGAACCCAGCGCCTGTTTTTATGCTGTCCTGTCTCTGATAGACTGGTTTAACTACTTGTAGACTTGTGGAGTAAACCAGACTGGAGAGTAGATTCAGGTTAAAAACCAACTTTTGCGCCCCCCCCGGGTATTTTAAGCTCAGATGACCAAACAGCAGCAGCAGGAACAACTGTGGCAGCAACACTGAAGGGACAGTACGAAGCGGAGACGCTCAAACCAACACTGCCCTATGAGAAAATATTTGTCCAACTACGTCATCGGTCAGGGATGTACCGATACTCTGATGCTCAGCTCTGGGCTTGGTTCTCAATTGGTTTATGTACAAAATACCACAGTGTTTTTCTGCCGGTGAATCAGCTGGCCCTAAATACAAACTAAAGTTCTAAGCTTGGTTAAGGCCTCCTGGGGTTTGAAAACATGTCTCTTATCTATGGGAGTGCTCTTAAAAACAGTAAACTGCAAGTTTCAGTTAAAGAATAGACTGCTATACCAAAGCACTGAGTGAGTTTTTTCCACCAAGTGACATTTCAGAAAACGTCATCCCATTCCCACCACTGGGTAAGTGATGTGTCTGATGCTGGAGGGGGAGAGATCGATCTTCTCTGAAGTTTATTCATGCTAACTAGCACTGCTTTTTATCTGACCCGTGCAACCTTTGGGGAAAGCAAAGCTGTTTGTTCAGTGTGGCTCCCAGCTCCACCATAGCGGGGTTCCAGCCTCTGCAGGTAACCTATGGCACAAAACCACGAGGGTCAGATGAGAGACTAGGCAGCCACATCAACAGGCAAGCCTGCCACTGCTTTCATCTAGGAGACCTTGTTCTCAGGTGCTTAAATCTGCTCAAGATCCACTGGGGGTGAAGTTTTCCATGCAGAAGACCTGTTTACAGATTTTTTTTCACACACCCCCCCCCTCAGAACATGCCCAGGAATTCAGGTTATTCAGTCAACATTAATCACAGAACCACAGAATGGTTTGGGTTGGAAGGGACCTTATCATCTGGTTCCAACCCCCCTGTCATGGTCAGGGACACCTTCCACTAGACCAGGTGGCTCAAAGCCCCATCCAACCTGGCCTTGAACACTTCCAGGGATGGGGCATCCACAGCTTCTCTGGGCAACCCGTTCCAGTGTCTCACCACCCTCATGGTGAAGAATTCCTTCCTTAAATCTAATCTAAATCTACCCTCTTTCAGTTTCTAGCCATTACCCCTTGTCCTACCTGTCTTTGTAAAAAGTCCCTCTCCAGCTTTCTTGTAGGCCCCCTTCAGGTACTGGAAGGCTGTTATAAGGTGTCTCCGCAGCCTTCTCTTCTCCAGGCTGAACAACCCCAACTCTCTCAGCCTGTCCTCGTAGGAGAGGTGCTCCAACCCTCTGATCATCTTCGTGGCCTTCCTCTGGACTCACTCCAACAGGTCCATGTCCTTCTTATGTTGGGGGCCCCAGAGCTGAACGCAGGACTCCAGGTGGGGTCTCACCAGAGCAGAGTAGAGGGGGAGCATCACCTCCCTCGACCTGCTGGCCACGCTTCTTTTGATATGGCCCAGGATATGGTTAGCTTTTCTGGGCTGCAAGTGCACATTGCTGGGTCATGTTGAGCCCCTCATCAACCAACACCTCTCCAAGTCCTTCTCCTCAGGGCTGCTCTCAATCCATTCTCCACCCAGCCTGTACTTGTGCTTGGGGTTGCCCCGACCCAGGTGCAGGACCCTGCACTTGGCCTTCTTGAACTTCATGATGTTTGCACGGGCCCACCTCTCAAGCTTGTCAAGGTCCCTCTGGATGGCATCCCTTCCCTCCAGTGTGCTGGCTGCAACACACAGCTTGGTGTTGTCAGCAAACTTGCCGAGGGTGCACTCAATCCCACTGTCCATGTTGCCGACAAAGATGTTAAGCAGCGTCGGTCCCAATACTGACCCCTGAGGAATGCCACTCTTCACTGGTCGATCACTTGGTGATCGATCACTGTCCATCACTTGGATATTGAGCCGTTGACTGCAACTCTTGAGTGTGACCATCCAGCCAATTCCTTATCCACTGAGTGGTCCATCCATCAAATCCACGTCTCTCCAACTTAGAGACAAGGATGTTGTGCGGGTCAGCGTCAAATGCTTTGCACAAATTAAGAAAATTTTTACAACTGGTTGTCAACAGCAAACTAAAACTCAACCGAACAACTGGCATGAAAATCTGAGCGCGTTCAAGCTCTTGCTTAGTGTGAGTGACAACAGCCACAAAACACGTCAACACCCGAGTACAGACAAGGCTGGCTACTCAGCTAGCCAGTGTCCTCATCAACAACACAG